GCCTCAGATACACATATGGCTATGTATTTGATTGGCTGGCTGGATGGATGGATAGAAAATGTACAAATTTTCCTCTCAAATGGTTTTTAGCCCCTTGCAGTTCATGCTTTTCAGTTTTAAGTTTCTCTGAAATTTCCCATTTTGTTTTGATTAACAGATTGAAAATATAAGTCATAACTTTCCTTCTTATTTTCTACAATTAGATAGATCACTTCTTATTCCAGTAATTTCTCAAGAACACAAGGCAGGGCCAAAGCAGACTCAAAAGAAGAATTCCTTAAACACAAAGCAGACTTGAATTGTTTTATCTCAGCTTTATGTCTGCTTCAGTAAGGACTCAACTACATGACTTAAAACAGCCACACACTGGTTAAAGGAGTGCTATGGGACTATTGACACAGTTCAGTGGTAGGGTGCTTGCCTAGCATGCTGAGGTCCTGGGGTGAATACCCAGCACTGAAACACCTCCCCCCCCAAAAAAAGAAGTAACTCATACAAGTATGTTCTCACATTAGTCATTGTTTCTTTTTTTTTATTGTGAAAATACCGTACAGAGGGGTTACAATTACATGGGCAAGATAATGAGTACATTTTTATCAAGCATTGTTGCCTCCTCCTTTGCTTTCCCTTCCTATCCCTTCCCATAGTCATTGTTTCTAAATTGACATGTGAAGAGCCAGTGTTGCCATCTAATTTTCTTGATCTTAGTAAAAATTACCCTTTTCATTGGAAAAATGTCTGGTTACAAACCCTAAGAAATGAAGAAGCAGGCTGGGAAGGTGGCTCAGTGGTAGAATGCTTACTTTGCATGTATGAGGCCATGGGTTAGATTCCCCAGCACCATATAAGCAGAAAAAAACCAGAAGTGGCACTGTTCAAGTGGTAGAGTGCTAGCCTTGAGCTGAAAAGCTGGGGACAGTGCCCAGGCCCAGAGTTCAGGCCCCATGACCAACAAATGAAAAAAAAAAGGAAAAAATAACAAAGCACTGTGATTGATTTTACTTTAAAGATCCTTATAGAAGCTGGAATGTAGCATGTGCTTATATGTACCAGGCCTGGATTTGATCATGAGAGAAAGGGAGGGAAGGAAGAAGGAAGGAGCAGAGAGAGGGAGTTACATACTAAAGAATGCCCTCTCTCAGGTACATTTGACTGAAGCAGTCGATAGCTAATAATAACAAACACGTGCTGAATGATTATTCTGTGTCCCGCTTGGTGCTGGGTTCTTGGTTTCATGTCAGCCCTGTGAGGTAGGAGCAACCATCAGATCTTGTCTTACAGCTAGCCATCAGGACATTAGAATTTAAGCTATTTATCTGCAGTCTCACCAGTTAGCAAGCATAGGAAGCAGATGCAAATCTAGACTACAAGGCTAGAGTGCATTTAAATTTAGGGATTTTATGGTGCTTTTATGCCAAAAGGACTTGATTGAAACACACAACATATGTTCGTGTTCAAAGGTCCCAATTTAAAGACCATCCGAATATTGAGGTCTTGAAATATTTACACAACTTTCACAGGGAAAAAAAATCCTCAGCTACAAATAGTTCTCTATGTCAGAGACACTAAAAAAAAAATCTTAATATAAGTTTCTCAAGAAAATATGGAGAAAAGTGTTAGAACATTAACATTGCCCAAACTGTTACAAGTTTATTACATCTTAAACAATGTGAAGGCAAGAAAGCTGGAGTTGAGTACCAAGTGCTGTTTTTCAATAGCCACGCCAAAGGCTAACTCAAGTGTTGCAAATTAACATCAGAAAATACAAGAGCCTTGACAATGGGCCTTTCTGGTAGGCTGGAAGGTCAAGATTCTGACACTTGAGATTCATTCCCAAGTAACAGACACATGCTGAATGATTCCTTGGTGCTGGGTCCTTGGTTTCACATCCCTGTGAGGTAGGAGCCACCATCAGCTTTGTCTTACAACAAGTCATCAGGATATTCCAATTTAAGCTACTGTCTGAGCTCTCATCAGCTAGCAAGCTGTTTCCATTGCTGGTATTTCGGCCAGACTCTTTGGCCCATTTGATGCCAGATTCTGAGCAACATCTGTGCTTCTCAGAACCAGCTAGTCTTAGAGATCTGGCTCTGTGCTGTTGTCTTCAAAAATTGCTGCTACTGCTGCTGCTACAGGAAATAAGAGCCTTATTTGTTCTGCTCAGACAGTGAAGATCTGGGTTTGGAAAAAAAACTAAGAAAACTAAGTAGTGATGAGAGAGAGAGGGCACGAGAGAGGGAGAGAAACCAGAGCCACTAGGAAATAGGAAAAGGTTTTAAAAGTTGAATTCAGTTCTTCTAGTTTCTATTGAAGCGTCTGGCTCTGTCAAAAATAACATTGTTCAAAATGAAGTCTGAATAGTGCCGCTAATGTAGTGGTATCATGCAAGATTCCCAAAAGGAAGTCTAGCAGCAGCTGTAAGTTTGGGAAGACTTTGGAAAAAGAGAATGTTTATTTGTTTTAAGAATGGGAGCGCTGTGCAACTTATTCTTCTGATTTTTTAAAAAACACAAATCACAACTTTAAATTTTCCCTCTGTGTAAAAGGTGAAGCCTTAGCCATTAAGACCTTAAACCTTCTCATATTTGACTCAGACCCATTAGAGTGACATTGTGGTCAGAATGATATAGCAGAATTTTTCTGCCGCATGACCTTTGTACCTGATGATCACTCTGCCAGAAAAGCTGGCCCCTTCTAGTATAGGGAGAACGTGCCTCCCCAAAGACCTTTCAATCTGTCAATCTGTCCTGACTAGATAGTCCACCCAGTCCCCAGATGTGGTTGAATATCTACTCCCTGTGTTTCATTCAGTAGCCAGTAGTTTGATGGAGCACAGTGACTACTGTTTCCCTTTTCCTAGGCCACTGCTGCTCAGAAGCATAGTGTCTTGAAACCAGCAGTAGAGCTATTAGGAATATTAATTAGTTCTTAGGACCCAGACCTATTGAATGAGAAACTGATTCTCCAGAGGCTGCTGGACACATCTGTCATGGTATCACCTCTGACCCCCATGCTCTGAAACCAAATGCAGCCCAGAGTAGACAGGAAGAACCTGGGCAATAAATACCTACACTCATCTTCACATTCCACCTGCCTTTGCATATCCAAAGTCACGGATACACAAACTCCAGGGCAGGGAATGAATGCCACTCCAAGGACCTGAGTGCAGTCTTCGGCTTTGCAGTCCAGACCTCACTAAATATAAGACTCCCAGTGCACCCATTCCTCCTTCTCCTGCCCTCTGCAGCAGGAGAGGAAATTTCCAGCCACTGCTAGATGCTAATTTGTTCTTATTTGACCCTTGGGTTCCTAAAAAAGAGCAAAGGAGGGAGTGATTAGAGGCTGCTTTGCTTCTCACACTGCATATCTCAGCCAGGAAGCCAGCCCTGGAGGAAGCTAGGGAGGAGCTGGCTCTTAGCTGGTACCCAAAGTGGCTGGGGTGGTCCAGATCCTTACTGTTCACAGTGGGTCCCTTGTTTCCACACCAAGTATTGCTTTTGGCCCAAGAGGCTTCCAGCACAAGAGGGACTTTGTAGGGCTCTTGGCACTGCTATTTTTACTCTCTGACTTCCAGACCCTGCTTCCTGTACCCTTAAAAAGAACAATAGGCACACACAAGAAAGGGTCACAGAACCACTCTGAAAGGACACCTGTGGCTTTTAGTTCCTACCTCTGACCTGTTCCCTGTCAGCAGGTGACAGGACCCTCAGGAAGATGCAGTGATGACAGGAACCTGGGGGAAGTATCTCAGGTTCAAGGTTAGGGTGGAGGGAAGAAAGAGAAACACTGGGTTCAGTCTCCTCTCTACCAGGCACCTGAGGGTTTTGCTGATGATACACCAGCTGCCTTCCCGGAGTTGGACAAGGATAGAAAGGAGGCCTGAGAAAAGGCTACATTGGGAGTGCATATCAATTACCTCCTTGTTTTAAACCCATCTTCTGCCCTCTCTGAGCGTTAGAAATGGGGTAAGTAGTTTGGCCTTCATAGTGCCTCTGCCATAAAGGGTATGCAACACAGTCAGCCTTCTCTCCTTGCTATTGTCTCCATGTTTGCTAAATCTCAGCTACACGGCAGCAGTTGGGTTCAAGTCTCCAAAGACCTGGATCCAGCCTTGCTTCCAAGCTGAGGGTGAAGTAAGCATTCAGTACAGTTTTAGATGTGGAGATGTGCTTGATGGGTTGTTTTTGTTTTTGTTTTTTCTAATTAAGGGCTCAAACCCACAGGAAGGGGAAAGTAAAAACTCATAAATAGGTTAAATCAACTATCCATTTGGAAGTGGGTCTTACCTCAAAAATTATGAAACATTCTTTTCACTTGGGCATTGAGAAAGGCAGACAGACGTGTGGAGAATGAGGAAGACCTGCCTTGTGATTCGGAGGCAAGGCTAGCCAGAGGTGTGCAGGTGAAGGGTGTAAAAGAAGCCTATCTGGGCAAGTGGGGTAGTCTGGAATTGCCTCAAAGTCTAGCCCTGAGATTAGACTGATAACTGTTGGTTAGACAAAGTAAGATTGTCTTCTTTAATCCTTATCCTGTGAACCACATAGATCAATTCTATAATCATCATTCTCCTAAGGGAGAAAAACATATACTTTGGTAAGTTGAATATTTTGATGGCTTTGGAGGCCTTTATTATATAATAATATTTGCAAAATGATAGAGAATCCAGTAGATTCTTTGTATAGCCATGTGACTTTTGCTGGGGCAGTTGATTCTGTTTCATGGAACTTCAGCTTGTTCACAGGGTTCTTGGAACTATAGGCTGACTCTCTTTACTATGTCCATCATCTCAAGTGTCAACCTGCCTTTCCAGTACTTTCCTTGTATCTATCTGCTCATGCTACCCCCTTCACCATACATTGTAGCCAGAAGATGATTGTAGTTCCGCCCAGTTAGTCTGTGGACACATCTGCCTACTAAGTTTGTCTGGCTGTTGGTGCTGCAATTTAATGAGTATTTTCCTCTTTTTAATAAAAGTCTCCTTTTTTTCCATTTCCCAGCAGATATCTGGAATGATCACTCCTTTCAGACAGATCCAGACTTGCCGCCTGGCTGGAAAAGAGTGAACGACATTGCTGGGACCTATTACTGGCACATCCCGACAGGAACAACTCAGTGGGAACGTCCTGTGTCCATCCCAGATCTTCAGGGTTCTAGGAAAGGGTCTCTTAGTTCTGTAACGCCATCTCCCACTCCAGAGAACGAGGTAAAATGGAGTGTCTCTTTACTGGCTTAGTAGAGGGGATGTAACTTGTGATTTCTCTTTAATTGCTTCTGCCCCAACAGGTCCTTGAGGTAAGCTTCTTGATTATCATGCATGTTGCATTTGAAATCTCAGTAATGCTTCCTCTTAGTAAATAGTGTTGATATCCATCTTTCGGGAATTTTTTTTCATGTTTAATGGCTTTTGGGTTCTTGAAACACCATTCTAGGTACAGAAAGCAAGAGGGGCTGATGAATGAGACGTGGTTAAGAGTCCTTAGGGCTCTTAGAGGCATAATTTACTCTGCAGGTGCCACTGCATAGGGCTGGCTCAATAAAATATTTACACAGAAAACGTCTCCTGGTCAGGCAGACTATAATTGCCACTGTCTTAGTAGCCTTGAGTTCATTGCTAGCATACACAGGGTGTCTGCAAGAATAAACCCTTGAGCATCTTAAATGCCTAATTTCTTTTTTTTTAAGAAAAAAAGATCTGTTTATTTAGTAGAAGTGACATTATTTTAGAAATAATTAGCAGCGTAAATTTCTGCTATTCCTGAGGGGAAAAAATCTGGGTGTTTAAACAAATTATTAAGACATCAAAAATTTCTTTGATATTTAATGGTATAAAAAATTCCTATAGGGGCTGGGAAGGTAGCTCAGTGGTAGAGTGCTTGCCTTTCATGCATGAAGCCCTGGGTTTGATTCGTCAGCACCAAAAAGCAGAAAAAGCCAAAAGTGGCACTGGGGCTCAAGTGGTAGAGCACTAGCCTTGAGCTGAAGAGCTGAGGGACAGTGCCCAGGCCCAGAGTTCAGGCCCCATGACTGGCAAAAAAAAAAAAAAAGCCAATAGTAAACCAATAGTGAGTCTTAGTATAACATATTGAAGAAAATCATAATTAAGAAAGGTCGCAAATGATGTCCCTTTTTCCTGAGAGTTTCTCTGACACCCAGGCTTTTCTGCCTTTTTCTGATGATAGTGTTTTGGGTTTTTTTTTCCCCTTTCTACAAGCCTATTTTCTTTCACTTTGAAAAAATGAAGTGCATTTGAACTTCATCTCTTACCTACAGAGATTGTCTATATTTTAGCAAGTGTTAACCATCCTTCTTTTCTCTAAAAGTTGCCAGCATAACTTTTATTTACTTGTTTTCTGGAGGGCTATAAGACCTGTGTTCCAATCACATCCCTGCTTTGCAAGGATCCAGTGTTTTATTTTCCCAGCCTCAGTTTACCAGTATATCCTTATTGGTAGCCCAGGGCCTTCGTTGGTTTGTATTTTCTCCTAACAAACAGCCATAAGATTTTGTTCCTTACCACTAGATATTTTGATGACTTTTATTGACTCATAATAGTCCCACAGCCATTTATTCATCTTGGATTACGTATATACTGGGGGATTAAAATGGACCAACACGGCCCCAGGCTTCAAGGTAGGGGAAGTCCTCTTATGCTCTTTAGACTTCTCCCCTGTGCCGTAGGGGTCCACAAGAAGCAGAGCTACCTGGCACCAGCATCCATGATCACTAAGGAAGGGCAGACCTGCTCTCCTTCTTACCTGTACATCATTTCTCTTGGCATCTATTAGGATATTTGTTCCACTATCCAAACCTTTCATCATGCTAATAGAGTACCTGCAGCCAGAGAAAGCCATGGGGAAATGGCATCTTTAGGCTTCCTGTAGTTGCTAGGATTGTAGGTGAGCACTACCACAATCCAGCTTCCATCTATACAGATGGAATCTCACAGACTCCTCTGCTTAGGCTAACCTAGATTTGCTGGGTCTAGAACTGTAGCTCAGTGGTAGATTATGTGTCTAGCAGGGCCCTGGGTTCTATCATCAACACTACTTAAAAAAATACATGAATAAAACTTAAGGATATTTTCATTAATATCATTTCATTGACCCTTACAAGACTATCACACAGCAGAAAAGACAACTATTACCTTCCACATTTTAGAAAATAAGTTGCCAGTCTGAGGGAGCTTAGTGGCCTTGCAGTTAGTGTTAAGAGTAGGTCTAACCTGTTTCCCCCTGGTTCTTTCGTTTGTTCATTTGTTTTTTTTTTGGGTGGTTTTTTTTTGGGGGGGTGTCCAGTCGTGGGGCCTGAAGTCTGGGCCTGGGAGCTGTCCCTCAGCTCTTCAGCTCAAGGCTAGCGCTCAACCACTTGAGCCACAGCACCACTTCCGGCTTTTTTCTTTTTGCTCATGTGGTGCAGAGGAATTGAACCCAGGGCCTCATGCATGCAAGGCAAGCGCTCTACCACTGAGCCACCTTCCCAGCCCCTCCCCCTGGTTCTTGACTTGGGACTTTGCCCTCAGTGCTATGGATTTTCACCTCCTTGTGGCTCCATTTCTCCACTTCTGCTGCTAACCATGCCATTGTATTGACAAAAACCTTGTTCCTCCATAGAACTGAGTGAAAAAGTGATGGCCTTCTCTCCTCCCTTTTTCCCTCCTTTCTTCCCTCGCCTCCTTCTTTCCTTCCTTCCTTTTGAGAAAACATTATTTTTACAAATTTCAGAGAGACTCTTATTTATTAGCCATTGATTAATGGATGGATGGATGGATGGATGAAAGCAAGCCAGGGCTTTGAGCATACCAGACAAGCTACATCTTCAGTGCCATTCTCCTCAACCCTTTGAAGGATTGATGAGATAATCTTTCTTTCAATTGTTTACTTCATACACATTTCCCCCCCTGCACATACGGCTGCCTGTTACATCAAGAACTTAGCAGATTTAAGGGGTCATGAATTAAAATCCCAGGAGCAAACAGATGAGCAGGCAGGGAGAGGAGGATTGAGAATCAGAGACAGTCCAGACTGCCAGACACCCAGGATGCAGAGTCACCAACAAGGATTCTACACCACAAGCACCAACAGGTTCAAGTACATACAGCCAGTTTCTCTGACACCAGGCTTTTCTGCCTTTTTCTGATAATAGTGTTTTGGTGGGGTTTTTTTCCCTTTCTACAAGCCTATTTTCTTTCACTTTGAAAAAATGAAGTGCATTTGAACTTCATCTCTTACCTACAGAGATTGTCTATATTTTAGCAAGTGTTACCCATCCTTTTCTCTAAAAGTTGCCAGCATAACTTTTATTTACTTGTCTTCTGGAGGGCTATAAGACCTGTGTTCCAATCACATCCCTGCTTTGCAAAGATTCGGTGTTTTATTTTCCTAGCCTCAGCTTACCAGTATATCCTTATTGGTAGCCCAGGGCTGTCATTGGTTTGTATTTGCTAATGCCCTATCTAGTAGCTCCCTCATAGAACATATCCATGCTTGTTCTAATGGTAGATGTTATTCCTATTTGGCAGCCTGTTCTAATGGTGGTGGTTGTTCCCATTGACCTCTACTTCCACCCCAAGCTCCATACAATGCAGCAGGAAACTTAAGAGACTCTTAAACCTCTTTCTGTCACCTTAAAGGGGGACTGTAACATGCAAAGACCTTCTAGAAAATAATTTCTCATAATAACATCTCATGTGCTAATGACAGCAGAGGAGAAACCTTTGTTTCTCTAACACTATAGAATTGAAATAGAATCTATTTCAATGGTGCCCAAAACATTATAGACAGAAAGCAAAATATTATGGGAGAGAAAAAAAACTGTCTTATAATACATCATGTTGGAAGTATGCATTTTAATACCATTTTTCCTAAGCTGATTTGAAAAGGAAATCGAATAAGTTCCAAATCTGTTGACTTAACAAAAATTTAGGACTGAAGGCTTCTTTGCAGTTTGAAATTTTTACATTTCACTTTCCAAAGTTCACTGGGAACGTGTTAAGCACAGTGGGTAATGTTTCCACAGCGATGCCAGAAGTGTGTTTGAAAGTTTAGCAACTGGCCAGGAAGTATTTATCACTGAAACTTGGCACACCATATTCTCCACCCCTCCCTTGTCCCCCAAACCATCTATTTGTTCCAAATTATCTCCCAAATGACTTAGATGTCATATTTTAGAGAAAAGAAGCCACAGAAAATATTTTTGTGAATAACTGTTGGCTTGTGGCCAAGTCTTCCTTAGAATCTTTCCAAGTGAAGGTGGTTCAGCTCCTCAGCAGTACAAGAAAGTAGACCCGGCAGCCAGTGTGGGAAAATCCTCTCAGAGCTGGGAGCTCTCCTGGGTCATAAATCACTGTGCCCTGTTGAAATGCTTATGAACTCTGTGGGTGCCCAGCAGATAGCTCCTCAGGAGGGGCAAAATATGTGGCTTCAGAACCATGGACTTCCGGGCTGGGAAGGTGGCTCAGTGGTAGAGCACTTGCCTTGCATGCATGAGGCCCTGGGTTCGATTCCTCAGCACCACATAAGCAAAAAGAAAAAAGCCGGAAGTGGCGCTGTGGCTCAAGTGGTAGAGTGCTAGCCTTGAGCTGAAGAGCTGAGGGACAGCGCCCAGGCCCAGAATTCAGGCCCCACGACCCCAAAAAAAAAAAAAAAAAAAAAGAACCATGGATTTCCATGGACACAGAGTTAGCTGACAACATAAAAGGACCATTCTGTCATCATTTGATGGCATTTCTTGGCCTTTTCAGGGCTGGAAAAAACCTTGGAGAAGGAGCTATTGAATGTTGGGGCATTGTGCCTCAGCCTGTAAGCTGAGGACAGTGACAGTACTTCTGGAGCTTGAAAACCATGTGGGTTCCTTGGTCATTGAGACAGATGCTCTGGGGTAGAGCCTAGAAATCTGTTTTTTAAGCTTTCCAGGAGATTTTCTGCTGAGTAGGACAGAGAGCCCTCCATATTCCTCCCCTAGTTTTGTTTATCATTCATTCTTCTTAAATTACTTGGCCTCAACCCAGTATCACCCAGGAACTAGAGTCTCATCACCTTATTCCAGTGACTCCCTTCAAATGTCAGTATTTAGACTTTGGTGTCCCTCCAGGAAGCTTCTTAGAAGTTAGCCCCTGGTACTCTCATTTTGCTTCCTTAAATCTGGTGTGTAGTGAAATTCATTGGTTACTTGCTGAGTAGGGGAGAAAGGCAGGCTCAAAACTAAAGGTGGTGGTAGTTGATTTGCTGGAGTGGCAAAGCTAGTCCTCCAGGCTTGGGTCTCCTGTTCTCTAGAGTGGAGATTCCATGTGGTCTTGCAGATTGAATTGCACAGCTTTGGCCCATCTGTGGCTACCTGAAATCACAGATAGCACCAAACCCTCTGTACACTGCAGTATCACAGCAGCCCTCTGACAACCAGCACAGTGGCTAGGTTACTTCCAGTGGGCAGTACACATAGTGTGCATGTGCATTTCCCAGGGTGTGGACGAGCGTGATGGCATGAGATGTCATCATGCCACTCAGAATGAACATAGTTGGATTTATGATTTCCTTGTTTCTGTATTTTCCCATTTGATATTTTTGGATCATGGTTGGCCATGGTTGGCAACTGGAACTACAGAAAAGTGAAAGTGTGATAAGCAGGGGCCTCTCCCAATAGTATTGCATTCACATAAACCCCAGAGTAACTGAAAAAGGAAGCTTACGGGCTTATATACAGAATGCTCATTAATCTGCTTTGGAATTCTGAAATTCTAGTATTCCAGATTTTCCGTCATTTCCATCAAGCCTTTAGTCTTGACAAAAGAGGATTGAGATTTGGGGACTTCATAATCACCGGTTGTTTTTTCCCATCATGGACAGAGAGCGTAGAGGATAAGGGAACTCATTTCCAGGGCAACCATGTGCTGTGTGGAGAGCTAGCACTCTATCTCACCTGCTCACACTCCAGCAGAGCTCTTCTAAGCCCTGTGCAGCATGGGAGGGACCTGAGCTACAGAACAGATGAGAGCTGTTTGAATCTGGCTTTCCCTCAGGCCCTGTTGGCTTTAAAGGTGCACATGGACATGACATGGTAACAGCATCCACCAAAGCCACTGCAAAACACCCGAGTGCCTTTCTTCGTGCTGTCCCCTGCTGGTTCAGCCTTCTACTCTCAATCTCCCTGCATTACAGTCACTTCACAAGATGCTCTACACACCCAATCTTAGCTTGGGGTTTTGCTCCATTACCCGAATAGCACAGACACTAGGTGATTTGTAATAAACAGAGTCTGTTGGCACAGGCTTCTAAAGGCCATGAAGCTCAAGAACAAGGGGCTATATCTGGTATGGATAATTGTAAAGGCAATTATCATTAGTCCCTTCACAAGGGTGGAGCTAGCCACCTGCCACTAGTCCTTACCTTTCGGCACTGCTGTTTAAGCACTGTTTCCAGCACATGCTTTCTGGAGGACATAGTCAAACCGTAGCATACCCTGTGGAAAGTTCTCTCATAGGGACTTTCCTACTTTCTCCAACTCCATCCTCAAGAACAACCTACCCTGCCTGTTAGCATTGTTAATGGATCAGTCTCATTTTGGCCTTTTTCCATTAGAAGGACAATGCATCATTTTTGCTTGGTTTGTGGAATTATTTTCCAGAGATTCTGGAAGAGAAACATGAAGAAAGAAATGTCTCTGTGATCTGGGTTACACAATTAGCTTCCCTTAGTGGGCCCACACTTGTCTACCATGCGAGCACGGTGCTGGAGAGCCACACAGGCACCATGCTCCAGCACTGAGTCAGTCCTCTTAGAGATAAGGCTCTAGGCTGTCCCAGAACCAACAAGACCATTGTATTCCGAGTAAGGACAGGATCAAGACAAGAGGCGGGAGAGTGTCCCCAGCTACAATTCCTCAAATACCACCTCTGTTGCCATACAAGACTTTAGCAGCATTGCCTGGAAGGTTACCAGATGGGAAGTTGTGCTTACAAAAGATGGTTTCTGTCTGCTCATTACTACTGCAGAGTTGTCTGTTCTTACCTGAGCAGAGCGCACACCTGCCTTTTCCTCCTTTATTGCCTTCTCTTTGTCTCTTCTTGCATCTCTCTAACACCTACTGCCTAGAGGACAGAACAGAACGGCTATGGACTTTCTGGAAAGAAAACAATCTTTGGTTTCTTTTTCACTATCAGAGAAAATTATTTGCTAGGGCTGATGATACAGATCAGCAGTAGAGGCTTGCCTAGCATGCCTAGGCCCTGGGTTTTACCCCCAGAACCACAAACAACAAACCAATTCGCTAAATATAGAATTAAATGATATCCTTTCTTATCTTTACTTTTGTTGTTGTTCTTGTTTGTGGGGTTTTGTTGGGGTGCACACACCTGGGTGCTGTCCCTGAGCTTTTGTGCTCAAGGCTGACTCTCTACCACTTGAGCCACAGCTCCACTTCCAGCTCTTTGGTGTTTTTCATTGGAGATGAGAGTCATAAGGACTTTCTAGCCAGGGCTGGCTTCAAACTACAATCCTCAGATCTCAGTTTCCTGAGTAGTTAAGATTATAGGCTAGAGTTACCTGTACCAGTCTCCTTTATTATCTTTGACATTTCTCTCCAAGGACTCGGTTATCTTGAGCCTCCCTAGTCAGGAGACACCCTTTTTAAAGTTGATCCTCATTGAGAACAGAAGTTGCTTGCCTGTCTGCAGGGGTGGTAATGGGGAAGCACACAGGTGTTTCTTACATTGTAAAAGTAATTTTGACTTGGAGTTTTATTTAGTACTGGATATTTCAGGACCTTGGCACAAGCTTTTGTTAGAGCTCCACAGTGATGACTCCAAAACCTTTGTTCTGAAAATACAAGCAAAATTGAAAAACACATAGGTACCAGGCCCTGCTACCCCTTTGGGGAGAAGGGGGGTCACAGCCCCACTGAGCTAACAAACCCCCCTCTTCTCAATTAATTTTCTCCTCCTCAAAGCCCTCCAGGATACAGAATTAGAAGAGTGGCGATGGGCTGGTCAGTATTCCTGCCTTTTTATTCATTAAGATTGTTTTAATTAGTACAGTGATCTGAGTTCCTTTGCATTTTGAACACTGCAGTTCAGGGACCTATGACAAAATAGAAAGCCAGCCAGCATCAGCTGTACTAGCTGTGGGTGTTAATAATGACAGATCTGATTTGCCTGTGCCTGCTCAAGTCCTGCAGAGTAAATACCTGTACCTTTCCATACATGGAACAGTTAAACCTAAGTGTATCTGCTCTTTAGTAGTCTTAAAAACTGGATTAATGTTGTGGATATAAATTCTGGGTCAGCATTCTTAGCTCATTTTAGAGAACTTCAGTTGAAAAGTCGTTGATCTGAAAAGTTTCCACGGTTGATTTGCCTGATGGGGTCAGTAGAACAGATTCAAGAGGCTGTCCTTTTTTTCATTCACTAGTTTTATTAATTTCCACAAATCTCAGATGAAAGATATTTGGCCTATTCAGAAGAAAAGATACTTCCTGGTTTTCTGAGGCGGGTAGAAGGAGCTGTTTCAATGATCCTCTAAGAGCTTTCCAACCTGGGGCTGCATGCTTTGTGCTGTACCAGTGGTCAGAAATCAGCTTACTTCCAGGTGTGAATCTCCAGGCAGAATTACATGGCAAGGAAATACAGCTTTTTATGAGTTAGAGGAAATTTTTGTTAGGTTCAATTTCCAGGAGACATTAATATTAGTCTGTGTTCTTTACTAACCTTCTCACCCTTTTTTCTTTTAAGTGACAGTAACTTGGCCCTTAGATTTTTGTGCTCTTGATCCCGGGCATCCCCGTTTCCCCGCACACTATGTCTTCCTCCAGGAAACAGTCCTGTGTGTGGTTAATGGGGAAACATTTCCTCTGTAATTAGGTGTGCTGGAGATTCAAAGCCAGTGCCTATGATTTGCTTTAGACCACATTTAGGAAATAACTTGGCTGTCTGCTCCTAATAATGTTTTGTTGTTTGTTTTGGTAAGTAAAGTACCAATTCTCCTGCTCTGATCTTCAGGTGATAGTTTAGAGAGAGCGAGCTAACATGTTGCTGTTAATTTGTTCCCTAACCCATCCTGTGAATATCAATGCTAACCACAGTGTCTTGTATTTTTGTTTTTCTTTTCCTTTTCTTTTCCTTTTCCTTTTCCTTTTTTTTCTTTAAATTGATGTGCTTTTTTTTTTCCTATGTGAATAATTATATGTCTAGAAACAGCCATGGAGTGATTTTGCTGTTCTGAATGGGGGAAAGATTAATAGTGACATTTGGAAGGCAAGTATATTGTCAGATTTTAGATTGTTTCCTTTTTTGTTTTCCTTTTCTGCATGGCTGTGGCTGTGTATTTTCTTCTTCATGAATATCATGCATTCTGCAGGACAAGTGAAGGGGCTTCTTGCTAGGGTGGTGCAGCTCACACTCCCTTTGCTTTTTTTTTTGGTGTCTCCCATCATGAATGACTTCAAGCTGATGGCCCAAGGTTCCCTGGTTTCCTGTAAGAGCAGGCGCTTGCGCAGAGTCAGCACCTAGCAGCCATTGCATGCCGTCCTCCGCCTAAACTCACACACACTGTCTGACTCTCGCTGGGGGCTTCTTCTCCCCTTTGGTTTGGAATGCCTTCCCATCACACAGTAACAAAGACCCATTTTCCTCTAGGACCTACACGCAGCTACAGTTAACCCAGACCCCAGTTTAAAGGAGTTTGAGGGAGCGACCCTACGCTATGCATCCTTGAAGCTCAGGTAGGATGTGAGAAGGGGGTGGCAAAATGTGTGGCTTTCGCCAACTAGCAATTGCAACAGAATTCTAAGACTAGTTTTCTGGTTCTGTTTTTGTCTTTCTAGAAATGTTCCTCATGCTGATGATGATGATTCTTGTAGTGTCAACAGTGACCCAGAAGCCAAGGTTTGTAAAAGAAAAAAAAAAAAAACCACACTTTCAGCAGCCAGGTTATATTCTTTCATCAAAGTAATGACTGTGGATAATGACTTATTTTTGTACAAACCAGCATCCCTGAGCCACATAAGTAAGAAATTACTCCATCTTCTCTTTCTTAGTTTCTCAGGCACTTTAGGGAAACCTGTAGGTCCCACAAGATGTGGCTATTTCCATTACCACCAAAACTGCCTGCATCTCACTACCTCAGTTCTTTGCACCGTGTACTCAGTTCAGGTTGGTGGTTAAGTGGGCCCAACTTCAGAAGGTTTTAAAGATCCCCTAGTCTGCCTTGCAGAGCCATGGCAGATAAAGGTAAGGGCAAGGTGTGATACCCTTGGTGTCCTCCTCTCCTACAGCGGCCTCTTATCTCTGCAAAGTGAGAGGGCTCTGCTATCCCTGTCATGAACACAGGCTGAAGGCACTGAGTGATGATGAGACATGAAGGTGAACTTGTCCCCATTTTGCTCTAGAACTTTGATGATGATGCTCTAGAACTTTGGATGAACACCAGTGGGACCACTGTAGATATGTGGCCTACTTCCTGGGGCCATGTGTAAGAAGAGTCCCTGGCCTGGGGTTTAAAGCTGTCAGTCACCAACTTCAAACTTCCCATAATTTGCTTTGAAATTCACATTTTGTAACCAAAGCCCTGGATTATGGAGTATGCCCCAGGGGGATGGGGGCTGGGCTCGTTCCCAATGCTACCACCACCATGCCTACCTGGGTGATCTCAGCTGCCTGCCCCCTTGGGCAGTCAAGAGACTGCTAGACCTCTCTATCTCTGTTCCTACTCAGTGACTCCTGCTGTCCTCGACATTCAGTTGGGGCCTGGCTAGAAGCATGGGACAGTTGGGAGCAGACACACACACAGAGCATGGTAGTGGCTAGCTCAGCCTGAAGTGGCTAGTGGTAAGCCAGCAGGTAACTATGGGGTGAGCCTCTGTCCAAGGGTGATACTTGTCCCAGGGTGGTACTTCAGTATACCGTTACAAGTTAGGGTGATGGGCCCATAGGACAAGAAGCTCCCTGGTCTTCACCAGGAACATGGTGCATCTGTCTCAGTGGCTGCTGATGTGTGCAGCAAGACATGGGTAGGGCCCTAGGCATCTGTGGGGGTTTCACTCAATCTGCAAATATTCTTTGCTAGATGACCCTGCTAAAACGAGATGGTGAGTCAAGAGAGAAAGGAAAGTCTTTCTGTTTTAATGTTTTCTATTCTGTTTTTCCCCTTATCCTTTGAGCAGGCGGCCCTGTGTTTTCATTTTGCAGATTTCATTTTCACTTATGCATGTATTGTTGGTCCTCAGTACTTAGAGTCATGGAGAGCCACCTTCGCCTCCCCTTCAGAGCCTCCTCCTTTGGAGAGGGAGGAACATTCTGGATTCTTTTTATTTCTTCTGAGCCCCAAAGTAATCTGGGCCTCTGAATAAAAGAGCAAACAGGTTTCCTCAGTAGTCGTTCAGGGGAACACCCACTTAACAGGGTGATTCCAAACCTGTCTCCTTCGCCAGAGCTGCCATCTTGCCACCTGGCTCTAAGGGCTCTGCGGGCCCCAGGAATCTATACTGTTTCTAATGATCCACCCCCTCCTGAGCACTCTTGAGTAGGACTGGCTAGCTGCTCCAGAGCCAGTGACATTCAGGTCAAGTCCTTAGGCTGCTGCTAACATTCAGGCCTTTATGGAGATGAGGCAATCCAGTTGCAATGTGGGCTGGGAATAGTTTGCTTTGCTACCGGGCGTTTTACAAGGACTGTCAAGCAGAGGCTGGAAGAGGAGGAGGGAAGGCTGAGGGCTGGGAAAGCACAGTGTAGAGCTGAGAAGAATGGGTGGGAGAGTGGTGTATGGACAGGTAGCATTGGTGGCAGGAACAGGAGAACTACTCCGCAGCAGGTATAGGGGTTCGTCTTCTTTCTTTCTCACTTGTATTGCTTCCTGGATTCTTTATCTGCTGCCTTCCTGCTGCCAGGGTGTCCGTTCCTGCACCTATTAGAATTTCAGGATGTTAATAAGGAGACTTAGCTTTGTCAGAAGTTACTGAAGCTATGCTTCTTTTTTGTTGGTGGTGGTGGTGGTGATGGTGGTGGTCATGGGGCTTGAACTCGGCCTGGGCACTGTCCCTCAAGGCAAGCATTCTACCACTTGAGCCACAGCACCACTTTTCTGAGTGGTTTATTGGAGATAAGAGTCTCACAGAGTTTATGCCCAGGCTGGCTTTGAACTGTGATCCTCAGATCTCAGCCTCCTGAGTAGCTAGGATTACAGGCATGAACCACCAGTGCCCGGCTCTAAACATAATGTGAAGGATGATTAACAAGAAGGTTATTATAGAAAATTTCCTCTTCTACCTCCACCTCTGCCTCCTCCTCCTTCTCCTCTTCCTCCTCTTGATAAAGCTTACCTGCCTTTAAAAAAAAAAAAAGAAAAAAGTACTTTTATCCAGGCACTGGTTTGGTGCCTCATACCTATAATCCTAACTACTGAGGAGCATGAGATTTGAGGACTGTGTTTTAGAGCTAGCCCAGGCAGAAAAGCCCACAAGCCTCATATCTCCAGTTCAAAACACCAAAAAGCCAGAAGTGTAGCTTGCCTCTGATGGTAGAGCAAGCACTAGCCTTGAGCACAAAAGCTCAAGAACAGCACCCAAGCACTGAGTTCAAGCCCCAGGACTGGCATCATTCCCCCATCCCTTCAAAAAAGGAAAGAAAAAGAAAAATTACTTTTGGACTATCAGAATGTGAACACATCTGAAATTTTGTTTATCCACACTAAATCTTAATGTCCTGCTTATCATTTGTTTATGAAACCTCTAAATAGAAATGATAGTGTAACACACACACATACACACACACACACACACACACACACACACACACACACACACCTGTGTTTCCCTAAATGGCAGAGTATTTTTATAATTATTAAAATATTTGTTGAGCTTGCTTAATTTTTTAAACAGCAATTGTATTTTCCAGTTGGTGGCACTATTCTAAGCTCTGTAACTTTTTATTTGGAAATAACTAGAGATTTATGGAACAGTCTCAAAGATTGAATTCCTGTTTGCCCAGAACCTTGCCATTCCTACAATTAACATCTTCATGATCAATTAATGTCTTCACAATCATCATATAATTAAATGATAGATTTTTTTTCTATTTAAGTCTTTTTTCGAAGATTATACCTAGGAGACTACATTGTATGTAGTGAACTCTTTAAAAATTATTTCATATATTGCTTTCCGCAGTTCTTGGAGTCCTGATTTCACTGTGGCAGTGTTTCACTATTGGCAGAATGACTGTGCTCTAGAGCCCATTTCCAATGGTTTCCAATACTACAACTTCATAAAAATTCCTTTTTCCTCCTTCTAAATTATTGCTTTGCTAGAGGTTACTAAAACTGATATTATCAGGTCAAAGGCCATCAGTTTTATAGATTCTGTCATTTATTGCAAAATTGCTTTCCAGAAAGCCTGTGATAGCAGTAATCCTATCAGTAACACCCTGGAACACGCCAGTCTGCTATAGGCTTTGTCCTTTTCATTTGTCTGTTTTATTACGTGGAAGCTAATAGCCACTAGTATTAAAGTTTCCCCTCTCTCTCTCTCTGTCTCTCTCCCTCTCTTTCTCTCTCCCTCTTTCCTTCTTTCCCTCTTCCTCTTCTTCCTCCCTCATTTCCTTCCTTCTTTCCTTCTTTCCTTCCTTCTTTCCTTCTTTCCTTCCTTCCTTCCTTCCTTCCTTCCTTCCTTCCTTCTTATTCACTATTTTTTTTCTTAATTTCCTAAATGTTCTTAATTTTCTAAATGGTTTTAGGATGAAATATTTACTTTGTATTGATTGCAGATTTATACAAAAGTTGCAAAGATAATAGAGAGTTCCTCTTCACTCACTTTCCTCAGATTTTTTTATTGTAAATTGACCTTCTATAATTATATGCATTTATGATGTACATAGTGATAGCTTATTATTTTTTATGGTATTGGGGAAGTGAACTCAGTATTTTGTGCAAGCTAAGCAAGTGCTCTACCACTGAGCTACATGCACAGCCTCTCTTGATGTTACAACTTATATAAGCAAAGTGCAGTGGTCAAAACTAAGAAATAGGGGCTGGGAAGGTGGCTCAGTGGTAGAGCGCTTGCCTTCCATGCCTGAGGCCCTGGGTTCGATTCCTCAGTACCACATAAGCAAAAAGAAAAAAGCCAGAGGTGGCGCGGTGGCTCAAGTGGTAGAGTGCTAGCCTTGAGCTGAAGAGCTGAGGGACAGCGCCCAGGCCCAGAGTTCAGGCCCCACAACCGGACCCAAAAAAAAAACTAAGAAATAAACATCGGTACAGAACTATTAACTAAACACTTTATTCTGATTTTGCCTAGTTTTCTTCTACTGTCTCTGTGCATTTAAAAATAAAAACTATCTGGTCTTATAATCTTAAATGTTTTTCTCTAATCATTTCTTTTTCTCCTTGTACATATTTCATCGCATTTCTATGGGAAAATGGCTTAGATATTTCTACAAATTCCAAGGTCTTCTAGATCATTGCCTCGTGTGCCTCTTTTCTCAAGAAGGCAGCCCCTCGCCTTATTTGGATGGCCAGACTCTTGTGCTTTGAGATTCCCACCCTTTTCTGTTCTTTTCCCCGTGTTCATCCTCTTTTCATAGCTTAGAATCTGAATTTTGCCCTTCCACTGTGGCACATGGTATATATATGGTCAAATGCATGAATGACCCTTAAATAAAGTTGTAGAAAAGTTAATGCTTTAAAAATCATAACACCAGTTCTTTGTGCAACTGTTCAGAATTCTCTAAGGCAATGTTCTGTCACCTGGTGGACAGTATTGAGAATTGCATCTTTAACGAAATTGGCTTCTTTGGGGTTGGAATGGTGGAAGTTCCCACAGCACACATACATTAGAGATGTATAAAAGTGAGGTCCAGAGTTGCACAATTAGTTGGTGGCAGAAACAACACTGAAGGGG